CTACACGGCACTCCGAATGACGTCACTGGGAGTGCGACCAGGTGTGACCCTGAAGACTGGGAATGAGTTGAGGGGTGCCCGAAATGCCAATCTTTATCTTTTTTTTTACGCAACAACTAGGACACGCAGACGAAATCGGTTTTCTGTTCTTTATTTCAGAAGTGTCAGGGGGCAACTTCCAGAAATCTTTGACCGAAGTCCGAAAATTGTTGCACCGCCCCTTTAAGTTTTGTCTTACGCACATTTTTGGCGTAAGGTCGTTTCGTGAATCTGGCCTCTGCACTTCCGAAAGTCGCAGGAAAGGTAAGACAGACGCAGACAACGTTGCGAGCAGACGACGTTGCAAAGGAGCAGACGACGCTCAGATAGGGGGTCGCGATCCGCCAATAATGGCTCGGCGTTCTGACGTCACCGCTACCCCCTGCGCGACAAGCAGACGAACTTGCCCTCCGCATAGTTCGCCTGCTTCAGAACCTGCTACAAAAGGTCGGACGGCGCTTCCATCACTTCTAATCATTCAGTTGCCTATTCATTGAAACTTTGTTTTATATCTCCATGGTACTCTTGGTTAGTCTTTTTTTTTAATATCAAGATATCATAATAGGGTAAAAATACGAAGAATTTGTCCCATATGTTAGAAAATGCATCCTTGACTGGTGAACTTCGTCGTAGTCCATTATTCGGTTGGCTCGAAAAATATTTAGTCTCAGAATCTCGGTGGTAGGTATATACATAAATACAAATATCGCTTTCTACAAGAAAAGTAACTTGACGGGATGCCTCAAGGGGGACGTAAAATGTTTTCCTCCGTCTATGCACACTGTTCACACTGAGGATGCAGTTCACACACTGCATGCTCGGTCGTTTCCTTTGTAGAGCTCATAGGTAGACAGCTAAAACATTTGAGCTGTGATCCACACACTATGTACTCGCACATGGTTGAGGTCCATAAGCCGTTTTGATTAAAGTATCGTAAAATGCATTCATTCATTCGCTCATTTATTTCACTTTAAAGAGATACTGAACCCAAATTGGGACTACGCAAAATAAGACCGCAGAAGCTTTGAACCCCAAAACGCTACGAAGCCCGAAACATTACTGATACATCGATATCTCGAACGAATGGCCGTGCTTTTGGAAAAAGAAGGCCGCGATCAAGCGAGGGCTATGACGCCTGCGATCCTCCTGGAACAGTTGAGAATGAGGAGAAGCGTCCTCGCTTCTCTCCTCCTCGCTTCGGTTCACCAGCCCGACGGGGCGAAGAGAGGAGGAGAGGGAATGAGAATCGTGACGTGACTTGTCTCGTCGGCCTTGTCGGCCGGGTTCAAGCGCGCACTTCTTTACCGAAAATACGGCGATCCGTTACAGATGCCGCTGTATGTGTGGTGTTTTTGGGTTTTGCAGCATCCCGCCTATCCTTCCAACCTTGTTTTGTGAGCTCGAAATTTCGATCAGGTATCACTTTAAGAGCCCGTTAAGGGCATTACATAAAAGGGGTGTAATCAGGAATTATACAAAAAATGCCAAATACAGACATGATACATTCAGGGCATATTCAAAGAATTTATACAAAATTTAAATGTTGGAAGAAGGAAAAAAAAAGAGTAAAGAAACGAAGCTAATAAGAAGAAAGGTGTGGATTTATAGAATAAAAAAAAAAAAAAAAGTCATCAGGGTCTACGATGGTGACAATTGAGGATGGGAGACTTCCAGTCGCTGGTGGCTTGAGGAATAAATGATCGATTAAAAGCGTTAGTAAGAACCAGAAATCCGTTTGATGGTTCAGGTGTTGTTCAGGCGAGACTATGTTCGGTTGGGGGCTGATAACAAAGTGTTTTTAAGGTTGTGAATCTGGTAGTAGGTTTCAGGAATAAGGCAGAGCTGCGAGATTTGCCTGCGAAGCTGCAAAGAGGTTAGTTGACTGTAGTGAGACATTGAAAGAATGGTCATTACTGGATAAGATGAAACGAGTAGCTCTGCTCTGAACTGCTTCCAGGTTAATAGTATTAGTAATAGTTCATTTTCACTTCATTTTACAAACATTTGATTCCGTCTCACGAAAGCACTTTTGTGCTTGTGCACGTGTGAGTACGAGCAGTATGCCGGAGTACACTTGACAAAAAAACTACAACAGTAAAATAAAATACACAAAATGGGACAGCTGCGCCGTTGAAATTATACGATCAAAAGTCTTTGACACTGAACGGGGTAAACTATTTCGGAACAAAACAATACATAAATTTTTTTAACATTGTGAAATCAAAAAGAACTCGATGAAAGCACTACGAATTCATGTTACGGCAAATCGTAAATAAATCAGCAACACGTACTTGGTATTTATATGCGCGTACATTGACACCATTTCATCATTTCTCTTTTTGCTATTTTAAACGACGGGAGGTTCTGCAGATTATCCCGTAGTTCATTGAAAAGACGTGGTATATAATATTTCCTTAGCCACTTTCCATAATTTGTGTATATTCTCGGAACAACGAAATTTTCAGTTTTCCTGATTTGCTATTGTCTCGTGGCCTCTGGCTTAAAACCCGGTGCGAAGTAATATTTCGTCAGAATAACAATCCTCAAAAGATTGTCTATTGGCAGTAAATTCAGGTCGGAGAGCTGTTTTTTCAAATGCAATATGCTCAAGCCGCGTTCCATACACAATATTCTTTACCATCTTGTTTAGCTTTTTTTTTTTTTTTTTTTTTTTTTTTTTTTAAATCGGAACAGGAAGCATATATGGTTATTCCGTATGTCAATTTCGACTCACCTAGCATTTGGTAGACTGTCCGCCTCAGATTCGGATCCGCCTAATTTGCGGCCTATATAGGTATGGTGCGATTACCCTCAATTGACTCTTTAAGTGATCTATGTGCACATTCCAGTTTAAATATTCGTCGAGATGTATGCCCAGGTATTTTGTGTCTGTAGAGTACAGTAATGCCGAGCAGTGACAATTCCTACACTCTGTTGTATGTAAGAAATTCGGTTCCCTAGGTTAATACGTTTCTGATGGGCCCTAAAGCACATTAGAGTCGTTTTCTTTTCTTTTTTTTTCTTGAGTTTACGAAAATACAACTTTTTGAAAACCAGTTCATAACTTGGTTTATATCCTGTTGTAGGGAGGACATAACAATATTGTAGTTTTTGCTTGTCAATGCTAGAGCCGTATCATTAGCATACTGATAAACGTTCGAGTTTAAATGCAGCAAAGCGAGGTCATTCACATATAAAAGAGCATCGGGTCTAATACTGATCCCTGTGGAACACCGTAGTTTTCTAATTTTGACTCTTGGAGTGCGGTTGTTAAAGTAGTTTTTAAGGAATCTAAAATACGGTCCTCTGAATCTCAAATTTTCGAGTTTATCAAATAATATGGTATGATCAATCGTATGGAATGCTTTCGTGAGGTATAAGAATATTGCCAGTACTATTTGATTGTTATCTAGTTTCTCATTCATAAATTCCGTCACGTCTTCCAGCATGGAGCGTCGTAATTTTCTGCTGTCGGAATCCATATTGACAGCTGTTTATCAATGAGAACTTGTTGCAAAACGAGGTCATGGTTTTTAAAACAAACTTTTCCATTATTTCCCTGTTTATAAATTGGTCTAACTATTGAAACTTCCATCTTGTCCGGTATTTTTCCCGTATGAAATATTGCATTTAGAATTGCAAGGATGGCGTGCTTAAAGCTGTTGAAATTGACCCTTAGGTCTCTGATACTGTTGATGAGGTACAGTTGATGGGGGTTCCAGATGGTTGCAGCATATTCTAATTTTGGTCTGACGTACGTGTTATATGCCAGTTTTATGTTCAACGTTATATTGTCAGTGAACATACATAAATTGAGGCAATATTATATTTGCCAGAAGTACATGGAGGAAGGACGCGCCATGCGCTTGTCTCTCCAAGCACCGGCCGAGGATCACGTTCTCGGTGCCGGAAGCAAGCGGATGAAGCGGATGCTATTCTTGCATCATAGGGCGAAAACAACCGTTGAACGTAACCCGAGCCTCACCAGCTGTGTGCGCGCTCGTCCGCGTTTCCGAAATGCGCGTTGGTGTCAAACACAGACAGATCACTCATAGACACAACAGCCAGCTTACGGACAAAAGCTGGAGTTAAGTTGCGTCTGATTAGTCCAAGAGTTCTAGATGAGTCACCAGTGATGGCTTCGATGTGGTCATTCCAGGAAAGGCCTGATGTTAGTCTTGCTCCAAGAGTAACTGTCTCAAGACTCTCGACCAGTTCGATCAGACTCTAGAAAGTATTGAAAGGACAAGGTGGATTTTTTCCTGGTGAAGTGGGTTAGTTTGCATTTAGTTTTGTGTAATGACATCCTCCATTCTTTGCACCGTTTGTTAACTTTCTCTATGTCTTCCTGAAGACACAGAATTCTGGGATGCGCACATGATGTTTCCTTCGTTATTCGAATGTTCAAAAGTACCTGGTGGGAACTTATTGTACTGCGGGGGCATGCTCGGTGTTTTACGGTCGTAATGTATTTCTTGCTAAATGCAAGGTGTGTAGCCGACACTGCTCACATTAGGGATCATTAAGGCTGGTTCACACGGTTGCATTTGAGTTTTATCGAGTGCGCTCTGCTCACATTGCAACCGCACTCACGACGGGAGCACACGTTTGCACACTGGAGCCATCTATCAGGTAGAGCCCTAGAACACTTCCGACTTTGTACGCATCATTCTCTCGAATTAACCCTGACGTTATAACCACCCATTTCTCATAAATTGGGCGTAGATTCGGTCCCGTAAGGGTACTGCATAACCTTCAGCCTAGTTACATGCGGGATCGGAATTGTTCCCTCGATAGATCGCGCCGGTGTACAAGTGGTTACGAGCGAGTGCACCAGCACACTTGTGCACATTCAAACTCAAAACTGTTGTGCAGACGCTTTAAATGCAGCCCGCGTCGTTCGCGGCTCTAGGATATTGCCCCAGGCGGTTCACATTGGGGGGGGCATTGTCTTCCTGCAGCCGGGGGAATGGAGTGTGGCCTGGCGGGGAGCGCCGCAGCGGCAGCGGGGCTCAAGGGGTCTCCCCCGAAGGCCCTGCACGTGAACTTCGAGCCGGGGGACAAGGACGAGCTGCAGGACCGCAAGAAGAAGTACCTGACGGCCAAGTACGGCCCCCACCAGATGAGCCTCATCAAGAAGCGTCTCCGCGTCGAGATGTGGATGTACGAGCAGCTGCAGCACCTTTTCGCCTCCACCGTGAGTTGCCTCGGCTTCTCTTTCCCAGGAAGTCGTTGTCTGCGGGTGCACCTGACGGCTTACACCCCGTTGTTGGCAGCCATGGCTGAGCAGGGAGCTCAGCTATTGCCGCCAATAAATAGCAATAATGCAGCACTGTCGGAGCATGAAGTGACGTGAGCAATCTGCATTTTCCTTTTATTAGATTTTTTTTGGCGAGCAAGCGCCCTCTTTTCTTGGGCAGTTCCAAAAATACACGTAGTGGGCTTATTGTTTGGGCCTACCAACACTTTTTAAGTGTTGCCATTTTTATGATGTGGGTTCTACCGAGAGAATGTCTGAGCTCGTAACAGGCTGGGTTAATAAAGAGATCAAAAGAGCCCCTGCCCCCAAGAGCGTCTCTCGAGAGGAGGGTGAAAATATGAATTTGATTCCTTGGCGTCATTTGCTTGTGGCAGACGCAAAGTGGAAGAGGTTGCTTTTGAATGGCACCATTTGGTAACCCCATGGGCAAACAAGCACGAAGTGTATACAGTTCGCTTCGAGGTAGGGGCTGCTTGCAAGACGGTTGATTGACAACTCATTGTTCCAATCGTGCAGACAACGAAATATGTACGTCGTGCTTGAGCAGGTGGTTTATCTTACTTTTGGCAAATATTCCTGTTGCACTGACGAGTGAACCCTAGGACGTCCCGCACTGCTTAACTTCCTCTGCTGTGCAAACTTGCGCATTCATATTTGTGTGCGTGCGTGCGTGCGTGCGTGCGTGCATGCATGCATGCATGCATGCGTGCTGGCCTCTATTTTTGCTTTTACTCATTCCCCCCTCCCCCCTTTTTTTGTTATTGTCAATCAAAATATGCTACGCCCCAATGTACGGAGGCAGACGTTTTGTTTCAATTTAACTTCATTTTTTTTTCTTTTTTTATAGGTCACTAGACCCCCTCCTTTGCACAAAAGAGGCATTTGCAGGCAATGCACGAACCATAGAATTATTGGCTCGTTTTTTCTAAACACTGTTTTTACCTTAATCCCTGAAGTTCGTGTTATAAACTGACCTTCATTGGTTTTTTTGCTTTTCAACAGGCTAAATGTGATATAATTAAAATGAGGGTGAGGTGAGACTGAAAACTTCCTTCACAGCTTCGAGCCAATACAAAACAAATGAACAGTGCGACAATTACTAAAGAAAGATTGATTTTGATTGAGTAGCACGTCTTTAATAAGATACGGAGTCATACTCAAGACTCGCTGTAATGGAGGGACTACCGGGAAGGGTAGATACAAGGGTCAAGAAAGGGGGGAGGGTGGATTGGGAAATTTTGAGAGTTAGGCCCATAGGTATAAAATTAATCTATCGGAAGCCACTGCCGATGGAATGATGTGTCAGATGGCATTTAATGAAACACTTCAATTTCGTTTATGTGCGGTATGATAAAGATTAAAAAATATAAATGATCAGAATGGTTGGTAATGAATTTGTGTATAAAACAAAAACCGTGAAAGCTACACTAATGCGGTTTGTAGGGGCGAGTTACACGACTAGGGAGATATAATATAGGGGGCTAATCGTAACAGTAAGTCAAGCAATTCAGTTAAAAAAACAACTTTAAATGAGTGAAGATAAACATCTGGTTTCGACTATAAATTTCCTGATCGCCATCGAAAACCACTACATATTCTGAAGTTATCAATCGTGCAACGGGCTCAAGGCTGACGGCGCGAAAACACGGATGCTAAGCGTGCAGTGGTGTGGTGTTTTGCACCGCTGGTCGTGCGCCTGTTGCACGAATCTAGAGCTCCACCGCGCTTCTCATGCCTTCAAGGTCCTGCTAAAATTGACCAATTTAGTGGTCTTCGATGACGCACGGGACGTTTCTAATTGAAACCAGATGTTCATTTTCTCTAATTAAAAAGTTAATTAGCATATTTTAGTTAAGCATCCCACTTATCGCGACGATTAGCCTTTTATGTTAAGTACCCCTGGTAGTATAAGTCACTTGCACAGACCAGATATAAGTGGAGCTTTCACAGCTTTTTTTTAACAAATTTTTCTTAAGTCTAGAAAAACAAACCCTCTATATATCATACTAAAAATAATGGTTCTTGACAATGAACGGTCATAGTGATAAAAAAAATAATGGAAACATTTCTTGCAGTCTTGGATTTTTGCTTGTACCTGCTCCCAATAGACCGACCACACCGGACGCAGAGCCGTGTATAGATATAGTGTGGTCAATGGGAGGAGCGGGCAGAGCCAGGGCGTGCACCAGACGCAGATAGAGGGCTTGGCATATGCTCTCTTGGACAACTAGAAGCCGAAAAGAATCCCCTAGCGGTGGTAGCGAGAAACAGTTTTAATAAGAGCGTAATGGTTAAATGTATAGTAACCCTTCATGGTTGAAAATGTGGTTCACGTGATGTTTCGATCATGATCATGCAGAAAGATGTAAGAAACGAATGTGCCACTCGAACTCTGTTTTGCTGGGACAGAGTGTGACCGCTCGGACGGCAGATTCCCGACCTTCGGCGCCTGGCGTACGGATTATGTCGATCGTTCCGCTAGTCGCGCTGTTCCGCCATGATTTTAGGTGACCGCGATTGAAACACCACCTGCACCATATTTTCCGTCAGCCAGAGTTACTCTGATACACTTATTCATTTCGTTTCTCGCTACCGCCGCCAGAGTATTATTTCCGGCTTCTGGTTGGCCACATTCAAATTTTTGAAGACACCCTGGAACACGCCCAGCCCGCTTTCGGCCAATGGCGCCTCCTCATTTGTCTCCTATACTTCCCAATGAATGGTCAAACTCTCTACATATATGGCTCTGACCGGACGGTTTCGTTGTGACACCGCTGCCGGCATGCATCGTGGGAACTGTGGTCTTCCTGCACGCACGACAACCTCACTGCGAGTGGGTGCGAGTCGAGCACGAGACGACCACGAGTTGTCTCGTGCACTGGCATCTGCCTCCTGTCAATTGCAGTCATGGCTGCGTTGCGCATGCGTGGAACGCTTATTGGGCAGGAGATCGAACTATAGGGGGCGGTCTGACCCGTTTGTTTTCCCCACGCTCGGTGTTTAGTCAACACAAGGCCTGTGCACATGCCGACAGGCCTTATGGGCATGTCCCTGTCATCTTCTACAATAGAGCGCGGGGCAGAGTTTAATGAAAAAAATACTAACAATCGACGAAGCGGCGTTAAGTGCGGGATCTATCCTCAGAGAATGCGAACTTGACCCACTTCGGTTTTTGTGCTGAGCTGGGACCTTGCAGGCTGCATTGTTCATGCAGGCCGTAGTGGAAACAAAAGAGCCCCTCCTCTCCCTCACCGGAGAACACGAACTCCAGCCGAACGCTGACGCCGCGTTCGGTTATGTCGGCCGAGCGCTGATCGAGTCATTGTATTTGTTGTCCTCATCCGTGTAGTTGTAAAGTTAACCGCTTGAGGCGTCACGGTCTGTCCTCCTCCCCAATAGTGATAGCGGCCTACTGGCACGTGAGAATGTATATTCTTGAATAGCCTGCACCACACGAACCTACACCGACAGCAGGAAAAGTGACGACAGAAGGCTTACTGAGAGTCAGCCAGCTAGTGGATATGCATAAAAAGTATGTTACTAAGTGTAATAACAGCTATCGCTGTTATTTCGCTGTCATCTCTTTGCACACTGTAAAAAGAAAAGAAGTTGTTATATGCTTTTTTAGTGGAGCACTACCACTCTCTCGTTGGAGGTATACACTTCAAATAATAACTGGGTATTTACGATTACAAGAATTAATTTCTTTTGGGGAGTCTCGTCCGCTGCGTATACTTGCACGTTTGAACACCCCGTGGAATTGGCTTGTATCCATATTGCACTTTGTTGGATAAGGCTAATTTAGGTGGCCGAGAGAGCGAGCGCACCAGATGACGGAAGCGGTGCCGGGGGTGAGCTCTAAAAACGGGGCACCTTGCTGTGCAGACGTTTAGAAAATGTCGCGCGTCTGCATCTACCAAGTTGGCAGAACATCAAGGTGACGAGCCTATGTATGAGACCTCTGGCACCTTTCTTTTTTTCTTTTCTCTGAAACTTCCGGAGGGGGTGATGCCAGTAGGTGACGACAGAAATGTCAAGTTAGAAAACGGAATGCTTGTCTGTATTGAAAGGTGCAAGAAAAGCAGCCTGCACCTGGCGGCGAAAGCGCGGCACCGAAAAACGGGGGGGGGGGGGGGGGGGGAGAGAGAGAGAGAGAGAGAGAGAGAGAGAGAGAGAGAGAGAGAGAGAGGAGGAGGAGGAGGAGGAGGAGGAGGAGGAGGAGGAGGGAGGGATTATATCTGTCAAACGCGCTTTTGAGAACTTGGCACAGAAAATTTGACATTGAAGAAGGGCAGTGTTTTAAAGCCTGGGACGCTTTTTAAGGCGGCGTCGTTGTCGCGAGAAGGTCACATTGGCCTCCGTTTTGCGGGCGTATAGTAGTGATACAAAACTATCGATAAATTGACTATCGATAGTTGTTCCAAGACTATCGATAGTATTTCAGAACTATCAATAGTACTATCGATAGTCGACTATCGATTGTACTATCGATAGTTTTCGAATAGTTGACTATCGCTAGTACTATCGATAGTTGTTCGACAGTCGACTATTGATTGTACTATCGATAGCTTTTTTTTTACTATCGATAGTCAGATTTCTGGCGACTATCGATAGTTTTTTAGCACTAGCGCGTAGTCACGCAGCAGCACTGGCTCTCGCGATCGCGCGCGTGACTCCCGTCGGATATTTTGCTCTTTCGTCATCTGCTCTTCGTTAGATTCTTCCGTTTCGGCTCTCATCTTTTGCATATATCAGCATCGAAACCGCACTTGCTGCCTACATGGTGTGTCCATTATGGCTATAGTGATCAGCGTGGATGTGAACATCCTAGCCCGTTCGTTGATCTTGCGACGTTGCCGCTCTCTGAAGAAAAGGAGACGCAGGTTTTGGGTCCGGCCGAGTTGGTGCTACCGAAACACCGAGGGACAGGTCAGTGC